AAAAAAAAAAAAAGAATAGAAGGGAACTTCCTTAATCTGACAAAGAATTTCCGCCAAAAAACATGGAAACAAAACTATGAAATGCACCGTAATTATCAAAGGCTTTTCCTCAAATGGAGAAAGAGGCAAGAATCCCCACTCTTCAACATTGTTTTATTCAAAACTGTAATGGAGGCTCTAGCTTGTGCAAAAAGGCAATAAAAAGAATAAAGGTATAAAAATTGAAAAGGACAAAATAACACTTCACATATGACATGATTTTTGTATATAGGAAATCCAAAAGATACACAAACAAATTATAATTAATGAACAAATAATTAATAAGTTAACAAGATCACTGGATACAAAGTATTTTTAACAGCACTTCTATATACAAGCAAATCAGTAGAAAAAATTAAAAATTATACCACTTAGAAATAACTCTACTGAAAAATCCTCAAGATTTCTGTACTCTGAAGTATAAAATCATTGCTGAGAGAAACTGAAGCAGGCCCTTTAAAAATGTGAAAATATTCCACAGTCATAAAATGAAAGCTTTGGCTAGGCATGGAGCCTCATATCTGTAATTCCAGCATTTTGGGGAGGTCAAGGTAGGAGGATTGCTTGAGCCTAGGTGTTCAAGACCAGCCTAGGCAACATGGCGAGACTGTGTCTCTATAAAAAATAAAAACATTAGTTGGACATGGTGGCATATGCCTACAGTCCCACCTATTCAAGAGACTGAGGCAGAAAAATCACCTGAGCCCAGGAGGTCAAGGCTGCAGCAAGCCGTGATTGTGCCACTGCACTCCAGCCTTGGCAACAGAGTGAGACCACTACTCATACACACAAACATAAATTGAAAGATTCCATGATTATAATGCAGGTTGATTATCCCTTTTCTGAAATACTTGGGGCCATAAGCGTTTCAAATTTCAATTTTTTTTCCAGATTTTGGAGTATTTGCACTATAAATATTTACTACTTGAGCATCCCAAATCCCCAAATTGGAAATCCAAAATGCTCCAGTGAGCATTTTCTATCATGTTGGCATTCTAGAAGCTTCAGATTTTGTAGCATTTCAGACTTCAAATTTTTTGACTTAGGATGTTCTCAACCTGTAATATCAATTCTCTTCAAACTGAACTATAGACTCAATACAATGTCAATATCATAGTAGAAATTTTTATGAAAATTGACAAGTTGATTCTAAAGTTTACTTGGAAATGTAAAGGGCCAAGAATGGTCAAGGCAATCTTGCAGAACAATCACAGAACTAGAGGACACTTAAAGTTATAGTAATTCAGGGTGGGACAGACAATAGACTGACCAAGCAAACAAAAGCCCAGAAACAGACCAACAAGGATACTCTCCACCTGAGATATGACTAAGTAACACTGCAATACTTTTTTTTTTTTAACATATTTTTTATTTTAAAATTGCGGGGTACAGTTAAGGATTAAGTATACAAATATGCATTGTGCAGGTACCCTTGTTGATGAGGTGTGCCCCCCCCATCCCCAGACAGATATTGATTACTGTTAATCCTACCTCCCTTCCCCTCCCTAAATGGAACAGAGACCTAAACGTAAAACCTCAAACCGTAAGAACTTTAGAAAATGCAGAACACACCCTTAAGTTGGAACTGGCATCCAATTCCTGAGTAAAACCTGAAATGCACGGGTCATAAGAGATAAGATAGACAAGTGGGACCTCATTAAACTGACAAGCTCCTGCAAAGCCAAAGAAACCATTAAGAGAGCAGGGAGACTGCCCACAGACTAGGAAAAAGTATTCATCAACTCCAAGTCTGACAAAGGCCTAACATCTAAGATCTACAAGGAACTCAAACGCGCTGAAAAGAAAACAACAAACAACCCCATGACAAAGTGGTAAAAGATACAAACAGACACTTCTCAAAAGAAGACATATGAGCGGCCAACAGATACATGAAGAAATATTCAACCTCACTAGTCATCAAGGAGATGCAAATTAAAACTACACTGAGATACCGCCTAACTCCAGTCAGAATGGCCATTATCAATAACTCAAAAAATAACAGATGCTGAAGAGGATGTGGTGAAAAGGGAACACTTCTACACAGTTGGTGGGAGTGTAAACTAGTGCAGCCTCTGGAAATCAGTGTGGCAATTCCTAAAAGTTCTAAAAATCAACTTTCCGTATAACACTGCAATACTTTGAAGGAAGGATTGCCCTTCCAGTAAATGATACTGAGTAAATTAGATATTTGTAAGGAAAGAAAATGACTCCAACTTCACACCATAAACAAAATTAAATTCTAGATCAATCATAAAATCTAGATTAGAAGCTAGATCAATCACCTAAATCTAGATTAAAATCTAGATCAGTCACCTAAATATGAAAAGTAAAACAAAATTTTCAGAAAAATATGTAGGAGAATATCTTTATGACTTTATGTTTGGCAAAGAGTTTCTAAACAGGACAAAAATTAACTACAATAAAAGGGGGAAATAGATAAATTAGAACTTTTCATTCATCAAAAACTACAATGAAAAGTATTAAAAGGCAATCCAAATAGTGAGAGGATATTTGCAAAAGATGTGCATCTGAAATATAGAAAGAAATAAGAAAGCAAAGCAAGCAAATAGAAAAATGAGCCAAAGATTTAAGTAGTTCATAAAAGAGGATATTCAAACAGCCAATAAGCATATGAAAAGCATTATAAGTCATCAGGCAAATGTAAATTAGCCTGACACCACAACACACCTAGAAGAAAGACTAAAATGCAATACACAATCTCAAGTGCTGGTAAGGATGTGGAGCAATTGGAATTCTACATATACCATTTATGGGAGTGAAAACTGCTATAACTCCTCAGCTGTTTGGGAGTATGCCCTAAAGCTGAACAATTCTACTTCTAATTTATACCTAGTACAATGCCTACATATGCTCACCAAGAGTCTCACATAAGAATGTTCATAATAGCACTATACATAATAGCCCCAAAGTGTAAATGACCCAAATGTCCATTGACAAGAGTGCATAAATACATTCTGATATACTTACACAATAAAATAATATCCATTATTGAAAATAAACAAACCACAACTTTACACAATATCATGGATGACTCTTACATGCTGAGCAAATGAATAGAGACACAAAAGTACAACTTTTACATAATTCTGTTTACATGAAATTGAAAAACAGGTAAGCCAGCAGTGTGATTATCAGGACAATGGTTACACTTGGTGTGTGGGAGGATGTTAGTGCTAGAGGGACATGAGGGCCTGAGCCTGGGGACCTGGCAACAATTATGCTCTGTGTGCAACTTACAGGAGTGTATTCACTCTGTGAGATGCAACAAATATATATACTTATGATCTGTGTTACATTAAAAACGTAATATGGAATCAAAAGATGCCAAACACAAAAAAAGTATATTGTATGATACCATTTATATAAAGTTCAAAATAAGACAAAATTAAACTACATTGTTCAGAATGCATATACAGAACACTCAAAACACGAGAACACTCAAAAACAAAGCAGTGGCAGTCACCTTCAGTCAGTGAGTGATCCCTTCTGGAGAGAAGAAGGGGTACCTGGAGTGGGTCAATGTTCTATTTATCTGTCAGTTGTGCTGGTCTCTCAGGAAGTTGTTACATAATGTTTATCAAGTTGCATGTCTATGCTATATTACATGTGTGATATTTTAGAGCCAACCCCGAAGCACAGCTGGTTTTAGTTAATACTTGCCATAGGTAAGGGTGTAGGTGGCCTTTCCAGTTGTATCCAAGGCAGTCACGCAGGGAGCTTTGGGCTGTGTTGTACCCCAGAGCTGTAAGGTGGCCAGCAGTGACAAAGGCCGGGGAGGTCCTGGAGCCAGAGGTTCCCCCTTCAGCACTCCCGTCTGGTTTCCCTCGGGCTTCGGCTGGTTTGGATCTGGTTGCTGAACTATAGGCAAAATCAAAATTTAGAAATCAACATTTTGGAGTACCATGCACACATTGTTTTTAAGCATTCGTAGTTTATGATTTTTTTTAATCCCAACTATAAAAGCTTGTAATAATTTCTTTAGACTTTTTTATCATCATAGTCAGAATCCAATTAACCAAAGGACTAAAGGAGATTCAGTCATGGATAATGATGGTTTTGAAATGAAGGGAAAACAACCCGCCAACCTGGTGACCATAGCCTCACATGACAAAGATGATCTTGGGTGGCGTTTTCACTTTCCCACCCTCTTGACTGGACTGTGGCTCCTCTACCACCCCCAGTGCCACAGTGATGAATGGTCAGGTGTCCACAACTGGTAACAGGACCTGGTGACCCACTCAGACAGGATGGAAGCAAGCAGAACCACTACCGCAGTCTAGGCATCAGAACAACTATCATCATGGTTAAAGAAAAAGAATAAAGCAATATCTGTTCCTAGCGGCTTTATAAGCAAAACTTGTCCAACCATTAAGAAAGACAGATCATCATTTATATACCTAACCTTGAATTGTATCCCACATCCTTAAAATAAAATAAAAGAATTTAAAAAAAGAAAAAGAAAAAGCATTCATACCAACAAACTGAATTTGAAAGGCATTGTTTTATTATAAAAGGAAAACAATGTACTAAAAGCCATGTCTAATCCTCAGGTATGAAGGAGACCTTGGGTTGATCTGTTGCCAGTGATACTGCAGAAGAGGCCAGGAGCTAAAGGGAAGGCCAGTGTGGGCCCCATGGCTCTAATAACCCACATGCTTGTACAGGCTTCATTTCTGGTTTCTTTCTGTTTCTTGCTAGTTTTGCTTTTTAAAAAAATAAACCTATATTCTTTTTTTTTTCAATTGGAGTCTCACTTTGTCGCCCAGGCTGGAGAGCGGTAGCATCTTCACGGCCACCCCAGCGTCGACCTGCTGAGCTCCAGCAATCCTTCTGCCTCAGCCTTCCAAGTAACGGGAACTACAGGCATGCATTATCACACCTGGCTAATTTTTTATTTATTGTCGAAACAAGGCCTTGCCAAGTTGCACAGGCTGGTCTCAAACATGCAACTCAGGCAATCCACTCGCCTTGGCCTCCCAAAGTGCTGAGATTACAGGCTGAGCCACTAAGTCCAGCCTATATTCTTTCTAAATAAATTCATAAATGAGAGGCTAAAATTCTGAAAAGCAGCCAAATCTATGCTGAAAACTGAATACTTTAAAACCATGAGAAAACAAGTATTTCAGATTAAAAATGTAAAAATTTGAATAATTTCTGTTAAATAAAATCTTAATAGTATTTTTATGTTATACTAAACAATGACCCAAATGTACAGAGAAATGCTAAGTCATTTCAAGATGAGCAGCTAATTTTCTACCTGCTCAAATAAAGGAAGCAATCACATGTGATTATAAATTGACCATTACACACAGTGACCACAGAGTCTGAAAAGAGAGAGAATATCACATTACTGTGTTTTAATAGCAATAATCCATGTACAACGTACATTTCACATAAACACAAAAGTTCAAAGTCAGATAACTCTTACCTTCTAACAATTCCTCAAAATCATCCACAAAAAACTCCTTCAGTGGAGGGCGTTTTGGCCTCTTCAGGGTGTTTAGAAGCTGCTGGATTTTGGAGGACACTCTGCTATTCACAGGGACACCTGTCACAGGAAGGGCAGAGAAGCACTAAGACCAGGACATGTCACATTCTAGAGAAGTGGACACAAGTACAAGGTCCAAGGACAAACTGCATAAGCACATCAGAACTTACAAACTAGCTGACTGACTACCCCATCAAACATTCATTGCAGAATTAATTAATTAATAGGCATTTATTGAATGCCTTCCAGAAAATACAACTTGTTCTAAGTTAGCAGTTTTTAAAATGGTCCAGGGACCTCAAGGATGCCAGGAGACCCTTTCAGAGGGCTCATGACTTGAAGACTATTCCACAGTAATATTAAGAAGTCGTTTGCCTTTTTTGCTTTCCTCCTCTCATGAATTCTCCAGAGGCAACATGCATGTGATATCATAACCCAGATGCTTCTCTTATGCCAGTCAGGAAAGAAACTTTAAACTATAAAACGACCCCGTTCTTTTCAATAAAAGCTTATTGTTTAGGTTTTTTGTTGTTGTTTGTTTGCTTGTTTAGACAGGGTTTGGCTTTGTCACACAGGGTGGAGTATAGTGGTACAATCAAAGCTCACTGTAACCTAGAACACCTGGGCTCAAAGGATCCTCTCACCTCAACTTCCTAAGTAGCTGAGACTATAGGAGTGTGCTACCACACCTGGCCAGTATTTTTCTTTTTTGGAAGAGACAGGGTCTTGCTATGTTGCTCAGGTTAGTCTTAAACTCCTAGGCTCAAGGAACCCTCCCAGCTTGGTCACTGCACCCAGGTAGATATTTTTTTCTCTCAAGTATATGCTGTTTATGTTAATGTGTAATGAGTTTATTACTGCTATTTTAAATGAATTGATATTTAAATTTTTTTCATTTCTATTTCTAATATGGTAAATATCAAGAGATAAACTACACTGGCCCAAGCGGTGGCTCACACTTACAATCCCAGAACTTTGGGAGGCTGAGATGAGAGGACTGCCTGAGCCCAGAAGTTCAAGATCATCCTGGGCAACACGGCAAGATCTTGTCTCTACAATAAATCAGAAAAATTAGCTGTGCATGGTAGTGTGTGCCTGTAGTCCCAGCTACTTGGAAGGCTGAGGCAGAAGGATCCCCAGAGTACAGGAGGTCACGGCTGTGATAGCTGTGAGCATGCCACTGTACTCCAGCTTGGGCAACACAGTGAGACTCTTAACTCAAAAAAAAAAAAAAAAAAGAGAGAGAGAGAGAGACAGAGAAACTATACAAACTAAAAGCTCTTTGATATCCTCAGTAATTAATAAATACCTGTTCTAGGAGATGGAAAGTCAGCAACAAAGACAGGTAATAACCTGCCCTCAATGGTTCACCACTTGTTGAGTAAAAAACAAGCAACAATCTTGTCAGGGGCACTACCACAGGGGAGGTGAAACTGAGCTTCCCGAGTCATACATACTCCATCCACCAGTGGAGAAGTCTGAGGGATCCGCCACTCACTGTAAGGGTGGCAGTTAATGCCATCATGTCCTCTCACATAACGTTTCCCACCAATACAGACGGCAGCCTGGAATCAAGTAGTGCATTTACTTATCACATCTCTTTAGTCTCCTTTAATCTGGAACACTTCTCCAGCCATTCTTTGTCCTTTGTGACCTTGACATTTTGAAAGAGTAGTGTTTTGTTTTGTTTTGTTTTCAAAATTAAGTAGAATGTGCCTCATTCTGAATTTGCTTTTGGCTCTCTCATGACTTGATTCAGATACTTCATTCCTGGCTGAAATGTCACCAGAATATCATGTCCAGAGACACATAATACCCATCTGCCTAAGTATAACACTGAGTTCATCACCAAAGTGTTGTCTGATTTCTCCACTGTTTTGTTACCATTTTTTTCTGTGTAACTAATAAGCAATGTGTGAGGTGGCACTTCAAGACCACCTGAATATCTTGATCCTCATCAAACTTTCCCTGAATTTTATAGCCATTAGATCATTCTTGCCAGAACCAATTTTTACTGAGATGGTTGCAAAATAATTTCCAACTCCAGCACTGTTTACATTGACCAGTCAGCACTTAGTATTCTGTTGGTTTTGTATCTATACATCTATCTGAAAAGACTCATGAATTGCTATTTTTAAAAAATTGTTTACAAATTGTTTTGATTCTTAACTATTTTAATGTTCAAATTGTCCTAGATTTATCCAGTAGGAGTCTCTGTAAGTTGACACGTGACATTCATCCCTTAATTTTTTTAAGCATTGCGTTACACTCTGTCACCTAGATGTTTCAGTGCCATTTTATGTTAGCCTGCCCCAGCCTTGAAATAAGCCACTTCTCCAGAGTCCTGGTTCTTCTGAGTGGAGGAAGGTACTAAAGACCTAGGTGTGATTACTATGTGTACTCATTGCTACTGCGATGTCTTTGTTTCTTTTAGCAGACAGTGCTAAAAAGAATAAACATGTATATACACACATATGTAATCAATATACATATAGTCCTACTTATAAGATATACATGAATACACAGATAAGCATAAACAGACACATATTTATACCTTAGAAATCATGAGTCTATGCCCAATTTCCTACTTAAAATTCCAATCTGCCCAATAGAATCCTTTCTCACCTTTCCCCACTTATGTCTGGATGTCTGTTCTTCCACAGTGAGAAAGCTGGCTCCCAACAATATCAATTTACCTCCAAAGGGGCCAAACTATTTCATATTCCACAAAATATTCATATGAATTGTCTGTTCATAGGTTTTTTTTGTTTGTTTTGTCTTTTTCCTATACCAGGAGGTGGGAAACATTTATTAAAGGGCTAGATAGTAAATATCTTAGTCTTATGGGCCATACAATTTCTTTGCAACTACTCAACTCTGCCACTGCAGAATGAAAGCATCCATAAATAAGTGAAGGAAAGTATAGCTATGTTCCAATAAAGTATATCTATAAAAACAGGCAGTCAGTCCATGAGTCTAGTTTGCTAATCCCTGATCCACATGATTTGCCGTATTTTCTCCCTTGATTTTTTAGAAGTTGTTTTTGTATTATAAATATTACCATGTGTTACATTTATATTACATGTGTTCTAAGGATTTTCTTTCAGTTTGTCGAATCTTCTTTTGCCTTTATTTATTGTATTTTACCATGCAAAAGATATTTTTGTAATTTAATGTAATCAAATTAATCTATCTTTACTTTTATTGCATGTAGAGTTTTAGTCACATTTAGAAAGCTTTTATCTATAACCAGGTTAAAGAGAAATTCACCAACTTTTTCCTTCTAGTCCTCAATTCTGCAATTTAGATATCTGATTCATTTGGAGTTTTTCCTTCTCAATTCCAAGAATTTCCCTGTCAGTTCTTTCTTGGTATAAGAAAAAAATAGAGTTTTAACTTGTCCCAAAAAGCTTCCCAGTGGTCCCAGTAACATAACATACATACATTTATTCATCTATTTATCTATCTATTTATTTATTTAAGTTGGAGTCTCACTCTGTCGCCTTGGCTGGGGTGCAGTGGCACGCTCACAGACACCCCAGAGTCAACATGCCGGGCTCTAGCCATCCCTCCAACTCAGCCTCCCAAGTAGCCAGAACTACAAGCATGCACTAAAACACCCGGGTAATTATTTTATTTTATTGTAGAGATGAGGTCTCACCATGTTGCCCAGGTTGGTCTCAAACCTGTGGGCTCAGGCAATCCTCTCGTCCCAGCCTCCCAAAGTGCTGGGATTACAGGTTTGAGCCACTGTGCACAGAAGCAGTATAATATTATTTGAAGGTATTTGGTAATAAGGTATATTGTAAATCCTATTATAACCACTTTTTTTTAAAAAGTGGAAATAGGATGCAAACAAGATTAATTAAACCAACATAAAGCAGAAAAGTAACAAAATTAACAAACGAGTAAAATTTTAAAAATATGTATTCTTGAAGTAGGAGAGACACATAAAAACATAACAGGGTCTTAGGTTTAAACTCAAGAACATCACTAATTACACTGACTATAAATGGCTCAAACAGTCTAATAAAAAGGTAAAGACTGTCTGCTTCAGTTAAAAAGCAAAAATGAACAAAATGCTAAATATAAGAAACATGCTTTAATTATAAAGACAGAGGAAAGACAAAAGTAAAACAATGAAAAGATTCACATGTATGCACTATTCATAATATAGCTAAAGGTGCTAAAATAATATCAGACAAAGAAGATTTCAGAACAAGCAATATCAACAAGGAAAATTCTGTAATAATGAAGAAATTTTGTAATAATTCACCAAGTCATAATGATCTTAAATATGCATGCACCTAATTACAGAACTAGAACAAGACAAGGATGCCCACTCTCACCCCTACTGTTCAGCATAGTATTGGAATTCCTAGCTAGAGCAATCAGATGAGAGAAGGAAATCAGGGGTACTCAAATAGGAAAAGAGAAAGTTAAGTTATCCCTCTTTGCAGATGAAATGATTCTATAATACCTCAAAAAACCAAGAGAATCTGTCAAAAACCTCCTTGCACTGATAAAGGACTTTGGCAAAGTCTCAGAGTATAAAATAAATGTGCAAAATACAACTGAATTCCTATACATCAATAATAAACAAACAAACCCAAATAAAAAGTACAATCCAGTTCATAACAGCCACACAAAAAAATAAAACACCTTGGCATCTTCCTAACCACAGAAGTAAAAGACCTTTACAACTAAAACTACAAAACACTGCTCAAAGAAATTGAAGATGACACAAACAAATGGAAAAATATTCCATGCTCATGGATCGGAAAAATCAACATTGTTAAGATGTCCATCCCACCCAAGGCAATACCCATTAAATTACCAGCAACATTCTTCTCAGACCTGGAAACGACAAGACAGGAATTCATAAATGACCACAAATAGCCAAAACAATCTTCAGCAAAAAACACAAAAACAAAAACAAAGCAGGAGGTATCACACTCCCAGACTTTAAACTTTATAATAAAGCTACAATAATCAAAACAGCCTGGTAATGGTACAAGGATAGGTATACAGACCAATGGAGCAGGATAAAGATTCCAGAAGCAAAACCTCAATTTCTCAACCAACTCTACCATCAACCACTGGGGAGAGGAGAATCTATTCAGTAAATGGTGTGGAAAAACTGACTGACCACATGCAGAATATTAAAACAAGACCCCTACCTATCACTATACACAAAAATCAACTCTAAACGAATCAAGGACCTAAATGTAAAACCTCAAACTTTAAGAACCTTAGAAAATGCAAGAAACATTCTTATGGAAATTGGAACTGGCAACCAGTTCCTAATCAAAATCCCAAGTGCCCATGTCATAAGAGAGAAGATAGACAAGTGGGACCTCATCAAACTGACAAGTTTCTGCAAAGTCAAAGAAACCATCAAGAGAGCAGGGAGTCAGTCCACAGTTTGGGAAAAAAATATCCTAACATCTAGGATCTACAAGGAATTCAAATGTGCTGAAAAGAAAAAAATAAACTGCACCATTACAAAGAGGGCAAAAGATATGAATAGGCATTTCTCAAAAATTAGGCAAGAAAAAAATAAAGGCATCCAAATTGGAAAGGAAGAAGTAAATTCTCTGTTTCTAGATGATATGATTGTATGTGTAGAAAACCCTAAAAATTCACACACAAAAAATTGTTAGAATAACTGAATTCAATAAAGTAGTATGATACAAAGTCAGCACACAAAAATCAGTTGTTCCTCTCTATACTAACAGTGAACAATCTAAAAATGGAAATTATAAAAGCAATTTCATTTACAAAAGCATAAAAAAGAACTGACAGGCAAGGAAGTAAAAGACTTGTATAATGACAATGACAACTGCAAAACATTGTTAAAAGAAATTAAAGACAAAAATAAATGGAAATGGAATTCATGTTCATGGATTTCATTTCCACTGCTTTGTCTGTCCTTATACCAATACCTTATACAGTCATGATTACTGTAATTTTATAAAAATTTTTGAAATTCTATAGCTTGAGGCCTCCAACTCTGCATTTCATTTTAAAAAATGTTTGGCTATTCCATCCCCTATGCATTTTAATATATATTTTAAAATCAGTTTATCGATTTCTACAAAAATTCCTGCTGTGATTTTTCACTGGTATTTTACTGCAGCTCTAGATCACTTTGGAGAGAACTGGCATTCTAACAATATTGAATGGTCCAATCAATAAAAATGTTGTATCTCTCTATTTATTTAGATCTTTTAAAACTTTCTCAGTACTGTTCTGTAGCTTTCAGTGTGTAGTACTATATACATTTTATTGAAATCATCCCAAAATGCTATTTTTGATGCTACTGTAAGTAGTATTAAAATTTTTCCCAATTATTTGTTAGTTTACAGAAAGTTTATTTTGTATGTTGACTTTTTATTAGTTCTAGTAGTGTTTTATAGATTTCTTAAGATTTTTTACATGTATGATCATATTATCTATTTAGTTTTATATTTTATTTCCAAATTATATGCCTTTATTATATGCCTTATTTTTCTTGCCTTATTGCAGTGTCTCAGACTTCCAGTACTATGTTCATTATAAATGGTGCACATGAACATCCTTGCCTTGTTTCCAGTCTTAGGGGAAAGGTGTTTAGTTTTTTATATTTCAATTGTGATCACAGTTATACATATTTCATATATGTCCTTCATCAGCTTGAGAAAATTTATTTTCCTCTTAATTTCCTGAAAGTTTTTAATCATGATTTTTGTCAAATGATTTTTTTGATCTAATGAAATGATTATATGGTTTTTCTTTTGTACTTTTCTTATATAGTAAATTACATCAGTTGATTTTTCCAATTTGTTTATTGCATTAAAATACACATAACATAAAACTTAGCATCTTACCATATTTAAGTGTATAGTTCAGTGGTATTAAATGAATTCATAGCCCAGAAATAGAACCTTCCCCATACATGGTAAATTATTTACATTAAAGATGCCAAGGAAACTTGGTGGGAAAAAAATGGTCTTTGTCATAAATGGTATTGGAACAACTGAATAGCCACATATAAAAATATAAACTTTGGTTCATACCTCATTCTCCTGCTAAAATCAACTCAAAATCAACTATATATCTAAATGCAAAACATAAAACTATAAAATTCTGTCATAAAATATGAAAGAAAACATTTGTGACCTTGAGTTAGGCAAAGATTTCTTAGATATGACACAAAAGCATAATCCATAAAATAAAAAATTGATGAAACTGAATTTCATCAAATTTTAAATGTCTGCTCTTTGAAAGGCACTGCTAAAAGAAAAAAAAACAAGCCAGACTGAGAAAAAGCATAAATGATAAACCTGACATGGGATGACTTGTATCTAGAGTATACAAAGAACTCTCAAAGTTCAATAAGAAGATAGAGTAAATTTTTTAAAAATAGGGAAAAGTTTGGACAGATATTTTCCCTAAACTGATACACAGATGGCAAATAGGCACCAAAAAAATTCTCAACCACTAGGGAAATGTAAATTAGAATTGTGAGATACCTCCACATACCTATTAGGATGGTTAGAATTTTAAAAACTGATAATACAAACCATTAAAGAGAATGTAGAGGAACTGGAACTCTTATCACTAATGGTGAGAATGTAAAATGGTACAATCACTTTGGAAAACAGTGTGGCAGTTTCATAAAAAGAAACATCACCTACAATATAATTCCACCATTCTACTTCTAGGTATTGAATGAAAAGAAATGAAAGTATACATCTACATAAAAACGTGTGTAAGAATGATTATCTATAGCAACTTGAATTGTAATAGAGCCAAGCAAGAAACAACCTAAATAGCCATCAACAGGTAAAGAGATAAACTGTGATGCCTCCATATAATGAAATACTATTCATTAATAAAAATGGACACAAGAACATGAATAAATCTCAAGATAATTATGCAAAGTGGCAGAAGCTAGACAATAAGAGTAAATACTGTAAGATCCAATTTATATACAATTCTAGAAAATACAAACTAATCTGTAATGTCAGAAAGTAAATTAGCAGTTGCCTGAAGGAGCGGGGAAGCTAGAAAAGGCAGAGGAGGGAATGAACAAGAAACACAAGGGCACTTTTGGGAATGCTGGGTACAGTCATTATCTTGATTGCAGTGATGCTTTCACAGGTATACAAATGTCTTAAAACTTATAAAATTATACGCTTCAAATATGTGCAGTTCATTACATGTCAATTATACCTCAATTAAGTTCTTAACTTTTTTTTTTTTTTGAGTTGGAGTCTCACTCTGTTGCCCAGACTGGAGTGCAGTGGGTGCTTCCGGCCACCGCAGCCTTGACCTGCTGGGCTCCAGCAATCCTTCCATCTCAACCTTCTGAGTAACCGGAATTACAGGCACATGCTACCACGCCTGGCTAATTTTTTTATTTTATTGTACAGGTGAGGTCTCACCTTCCCAGGCAGGTCTCAAACCCGTGGGCTCAGGCAACCCACTCCCCTCAGCCTCCCAAAGTCATGGGATTACAGGCTGAGCCACCGAGCCCGGCTCGTTCTTAACTTTTTTAAAATATAGAGTAATATATTGAATAAAAAATGTGTAACCAACGTACTGCCTGCTTTTGACTCAGTATTTTTCCGCATATGGACTTTGCCAAAATTTGACATACTGCTTGAGAGTATCAAAATAAGGTTGCCAGACTTTTGATAAGCTCTGGCCTGGCCATGCTTTCATTAAGTTACTGCCAGGCCATGGTTTTCTTTTAGCTCTGGCCTCCTCCCTAATCTTGGGGAGGCGAATCAAAATCCTCTCCTTCTCCCTCTCTCTCTCCCTCCCTCTCTCCGTCTCTCTCTCTCTCTCTCTATCCCCTCACCCTCCCCTCTCTCTCTAATGTACTTTAAAATAAAATATATTGCCCAATCTAAAAATAAAAAATAAAAAACAACTACATTCACATATTAAGGCCCTAGATCTGAGCTCCTCTGAATTTTTCTGTGATTTAAACTGATATTTTGGGGAGGAAAAAAAATGCATGATTTTGATAAAAGACATTGAAAATTGTTTAAAAAGAGAAATGGTATACACAAGTACATTATGAAAATCACAATCAATAGTGTACCAATTTCACTGGCTGCTGAGGATGGAGAGTGTAGTTCTGTCACAGGTGTGTGTATACACTCATACTAAGACACTCGGCCTGCCACTATGAATCTAAAAAAGAAACTTCCCACGGCTCATTTCCCTACTATATTGTAGATCCAACCTCCTTTTGTTTCCAATATAAATTTGGAAATCTTTTCCCTACCTACTCTCCTTTGTTTCCCATCTGACCAATTCCACAGATATTTCCAATTGTTTCACCACATGATGCCTTCTGTGATAACATTAACTGCACACACTGGATTCCATTTATCTGCATTGACTGATTAAAACTGATGGCTTGCTTAGGTCTGCTTTAGTAAAATTAAAGCTGTGTTCAGTACCCAAAGAGAAAACCTGTGCTCTGCTGTTACAAAAGGAGAAGGAGAGGCATGCTCACCGTCTGCTGTTTCCAGGATACTCCTGCTGTACTCCCGAGGAACACCTCTCACAGAAGCCACCTGTGGACGCTCATAGTACGAATGCTCCACGAGGCCTGTGGTGACATCAGGAGGGGCAGAATGCAGATCTGCTTTTGAAAAACACACCCAAATGAAAATGGCCATTAACTCAAAGTAGTATTAACCTGCTGTTCAAACCCCATTAGTCTAAAGCTTCACTAGCTAAGTTCTAAGTGAGAAGAGTATAGTATTCTGATTATTTGGGGGTTTTTGGCATACCAGGACCCTGTAAACTTCCAGACACGTCATGTAGAGATCTGTGTGCATGTGAGTGGCTTGATTCTCAAAGGGAACTAGATCCAGAACTACCAACTATAGCACATAGGTAGGCGTGGAATAAAACTTCCTGTCATAACAGCCTGATGAGATTTTCATTTAGAAACTCCCGCTCAAGGAAGCACAAACAAATTTGAAATCAATAGTCATTTGGAACATTTTTTGTCACATGATAAAACAAACAGCCAGGCTTCCACAAACTACCACCACACTCCCACACCTTTGCAGGCCTCAAAGAATAAAACTACAAAAAAGAAATCTGCCTCCACTGCCAGTTAAAAATGTCTGCAAAACTATGAGGCCACAATCAAGTTCTTCCAGTAGAATGAATTAGTATAACATTTAAAGAGAGACTAACTAGACAGCATATGTTTATAAGTTACTCCTTTCATTGTCTGACCGTACATTTTTGTGTTTAATTTTCATGGTACAGCATATTTATCTGTTCAAAATACTGGCTGACTTTAAGATATTATAGAAATTATTGTTATCAGGCTGGGCGCAATGGCTCACACCTATAATCCCAGCACTTTGGGAGGCCAAGATGAGAGGATTGCCTGAGTCCACGGGTTTGAGACCAGGCTGGGCAACTTGATGAGACCTCATCTCTACAATAAATCAAAAAATTAACTGGGTGTGGTGGTGTATGCCTGTAGTTCCAGCTACATGGAAGGCTGAGAAGGAAGGATCACTGAGCCCAGCAAGTCGAGTCTGCGGTGGCCATGAGTGTACCACTGAACTCCAGTCTGGGCAACGGGGTGAGAATCCAACTCAAAAAAAAAAAAAAAAAAAAAATTATCATTATCAGGTCTACCACTAGCACAGACACTGTGTCTGTATGACTACCAAAAATTATGTTTTCGTGCTATGCACACTGGCTCATACCTGTAATCCCAGCACTTTGGGAGGCCGAGGTGGGTAGACTGGTCAAGCCCAGAAGTTCAAGACCAGCCTGGGCAACATGGCAAGACCTCGTCTCTACAAAAACAACAACAACAACAAAAATCCAGATGAGGTGGCATGTGCCAGGAAAAAAAAATGTGTTCTACTACAACAGTGAATACACTTATAAGCCTAGATACACGTAAATGCTTACTTATAAGAAATAACATTAGTCTGTGTTGGGTAGGGATTAGTAATCTGTTTAATATTTTAATAAATGTAACTGCCAGTCTCACTGTGGTACTCTAACACCCTAAGTGTTTAAATTTTGATCTATCATTTCATTAACCAAGGTACAATGCAAAGCAAGAATTCTTTAGATACATAAAAACTTGAAGTTGGCGGGGTGTGGTGGCTCACACCTATAAACCCAGCACTCTGGGTGGCTGAGATGAGAGGATTGCCTAAACCCACAGGTTTGAGACCTGCCTGGGCAACTTGGCGAGACTTCATCTCTACAATAAATCAAAAAAATTAGTTGGATGTGGTGGTGCATGCCGGTGGTTCCAGCTACTTGGAAGGCTGAGGTGGAAGGATCACCTGAGCCCAGTAAGGTCAAGGCTGAGGTGGCCGTGAGTGTGCCACTGCACTCCAGCCTGGGTGACAGAGTGAGACTCCAACTCAAAAAAAAAAAAAAAAAAGCAAAAGAAATTATATGGAAGTAATACACAAACACACTATTTATATAGCAGAATATACCTTTTGGGGAAGCCTAAAACTTTGATAACATAGTTTTCACAACCCATGAAAAAGCTTGATATGATCAAATTAGTATTTCAAAGTGTGCCTATCGAGAAGTTAAAAAGAAATTTCCTCACTCTTCCAAATCTAGGAAAAATAATAATAGATTTTAAAGTATACATGGAAGAAAAAAATGTATGTGGTAACTTATACACTACAAAATAGCTGTTAAAAATAACTGCTTAAGACGGGCTCAGTGGCTCAGCCTGTAATCCCGCGCCTTTGGGAGGTTGAGGTGAGTGGGTTGCCTGAGCCCGCGGGTTCGAGACCCGCCTGGGCAGGCGAGACCTCATCTGTACAATAAATCAAAAAATTAGCCGGGCATGGTAGCGTGCGCCTGTAATTCCGGCTACTCGGAAGGCTGAGATGGAAGGATCGCCGGAGCCCAGCAGGTCGAGGCTGCGGTGGCCGGGAGCAGCCACTGCACTTCAGCCTGGGCGACAGAGTGAGACTCCAACTCAAAAATAAAATAAAATAAAATAAAATAAAATAACTGCTTAGCCAGGTGCAGTAGCATACACCTATAGTTCCAACTACTTAAAAAGCTGAGGTAGGAGGACTACTTGAGCCCAGGAGTTTGAGGCTGCAGTGAGCTATGATTGTGACACTGTACTCTAGCCTGGGCGACAGAGTAAAACTCTGTCTCTACCAAAAACAAAAACAAAAAGCAGTACAAAAATAAATATAAACTACATCCAAAATATAAATAAACTACTACAAGTACTGCTTTTAAAAATAGGCATATTTGTATCAAAATGGTTAATGTATTTGACTTCCTTAATGTAAGACTGAAAATGACATGTTTTTAAAAAATTACCTTTACCTAATATGGTCTACCTCAAATTTTTTACTATATTCTTCCTCTTTCCATGTTTCTTTCCTTGGTTCAAACTGAAGAATTATCTAGTATCAGGAACTAAAACAAAGGATGATTTCTGTAGTAAGAAGAAGGAAGTTAAGTATTTTGAGATTTAGAAATTCAAATCAACTATGCCCAGCAAACATTTAGCATGTAGGAGGCTACAATCTGTAGAAAACTATACTCTGTAGGAAGATATTAAATAGAGCCCGAGTTAAGATTTTTAAAAATTTACTAGAATTAATCATGAAATGTCTATGTTAGGACAAACAAATGGGAAAGGAAGTGATCAATACATGTTCAGTAGTCAAGAGTTGTCTTCTAACAATATAAGTAATAAACCTACAATATAAATATTTATAGCCAGATCCTTTTCAGAGAATAAAAACATTTAATTCAAACACACATTAGAGTTAAGTGCTTTGTTAAATGATATCCCACAACCATTGGAAAGTTGAGGGCTAAACGGCTACATAGTTAAACGTTTTGAACTGTGACTAATAGTTCACATTGAATATACTTTTATTTCATTACAGGGAATAATGTAAAGACAGCTTAGTAATGGCTAACAAACTCAAACTACAAATGATCTGCTTGCTTTCCTAACCATATTATCCAGAAAGGAGCTTCAGGAAGAAGAAATAACGTAACAGAACATTTGAAAACTACTATTCTCCTCACAGCGGAGTTAACTGTATCTACAGAGTTATAACATGGTGACAGAGAAGGAAATAACCACGCAAAAGCTGTTTTCAAGCTATCGAATGTACATCTACTAATGAAAAGTAGGCAGCAGCTATCAGCCATGTGGAGAACACTCAGGAAAGCTACAAAAACCATTTAAGCAAGCTCTTTTCCAAAGAGGCACTTTCTCATGGAAAATCCTGCCTTTTCCTGCTACCCTGGTAGTTTTGGCAGTTCCTCTGTGAGCTGGAACCATAGTGTGGAGGCACCTGGGGCATCGTGTGCTTTCATCTATGACTTAGCATTGCAGAAGAATGATACATTCCCAACAGAAATACGCAGACTTCATATATTGATTAAAACATATAAAAAATGAAGAGCAACAGTGATATGCCCTGCAGAGGATGTTGAAACAAGAAGCTATGGATCACTGAACATAATCTGATTTGCCCCCAGTCCAGCCAAACAATCAAGATTTACACGAAAGCAGCTCAGCACATGAGCCCAGTGCCCGCCTGGGGTGGCACCCACCACAAACACCAGCCTGTCATCTCATGGGTGTACTGCAGGTGCTCACCGTTTCAGTCTTGGCAGAAAAGCAACAAAAAGTAAAGAAAATGAATAGGAATCAAGTAAACTGGTATCAGCCCTGGCTTCGCCACTAAGGCAGCTGTGTGATCTCAGGCAAGTTACAATCACCCGACTTTTTGTTTTCCTTCCTCATCTAGGAAAAAAAGGAAGGGGTTAAGATGAGTCTTCATAATACGGACTGTATTTTAAGATACTGGTGCAAGAATATAGGTGGGCTTCACATGACAGCTAAATACAGCTAACTACGCTATGGTTTTTGTTTAAGAATAGAATTTCCAATGATGAAAAGTTTGCATTTTTTTCCTAAGGCGAATGTAATTCAAAGGATTGCATGATTTGGAAGATCGTGCATCCTTATGATTAGCTCTGATTAGCATCTTTTCAGGTTGAAAGGTGTTTTAGCATGGTATTTGGAGGAGGAAAGGCCAGACTATACTGCATCCCTGCCTGGCCTCAGGACTCCACCCAGGTGCAGAAACAACTGAGAGCCCTGCAGCTAGTACACCAGGCCAAAAGAAAGGCAGAGACAACAGAGAGCCAGCAGGTCAAGGGGGATGGTCATGACCACCAGCAGTATGTACACTGACCATTCAATCTATGCCTGTTACCTATGCCAGCTGCCCCTTGAGAGCAGGAAGGGGTGATATGACATTGAGAAACACCACACAATTCTGGGGGCCAGGGGAATGTCCCCACAGCAAAAGGGTCTAGGATTGCCAAATCACAGAAGCATCAAGAACCACTTTTGGCCGAGCATGGTGGCTCACACCTGTAATCCCAGCATTTTGGGAAGCCAAGGCAGGAGGAATGTTTTAGCTCAGGAGTTTGAGACCAGCCTGGGCAACATAGCAAGACTTTGCCTCTACAAAAAAATTAAAAACTTAGCCAGGCATGGTGGCACATGCCTGTAGTCTCAGCTACTCAGAAGGCGGAGGTGGAAGGAACACTTGAGCCCAGGCTGCAGTGAGCCATGATTGTGCCACTGCACTCCAGCCGGATGACAGTGAGACCCTGACTCAAAAAAACAAAACAAAAAACAAGTACTTTTGTTACCAAAAGGACATTATACAGATGGAAAAAAGGTGAGTCTTGATTGAGAAAAATAAAGTATCTGAGCCATGTTGTTTAAAAGGTTATTAGGGATTTAATCTGGATGATGAGCTAGGCAAGTATAATCCCTATTTCTTTCAAGTGCAATCATTAAAAGCACAAAACTGGTTAATGTCTCAGGCAGGTAGGCCACCATAGGATATCTGGGTTGTGTAACTTCGGTTACTCCGAGAGAGTTCAGGCTCGCAACAAAGCGGCTCAGGTGCTCTCCACCTGCTCCGTATAGAAGTACAGCATTGCTATCAGGGTTCAGCACCTCTGTCCTGGATACTTCTGACCCTGCTCAGCAGGTGCCGGGATCATGGCAGCTCGTTACTGACCTATGTGGGCGTGGGCCGCAAGGCCTGCAAGTGCAGTGGCAGCAGCAGCCCCTGGAGTGGCAGCAGCACTGGGAGCAGCAGCGGGTCTCCCTCCCCGGTGAGATGAGGTGGAGGATGCAGAGGATGAGGTGGACGAGCCCTGAATGACCCGGTCGAGCCAGGGCTCGACGCTGGAATGGCTCTGGAGCGGAGTGGAGGTGAGTCGCCCGGGTCGTCGTAAAGAGCCCTCATCTTCTGAGGCAGACGACGTGTCTGTGGTTAAAATAACGGTGACAGGCATGATGCAGGGATGAGTCAAGAGGAGGACAGAGTTCCCACTTACACTGCAGCCTCCCAGGCCTATGTGCAGCATGCTTTTGTGCAGCTGGCACAGCTCTGCCCAGACGTGGCCAAGCAGCCACCTCAAAGGGCACCCTAAATCTAAGGGCATGCAAGGAGCCTACTGTAGGGAAAATGGTTCCATGAATTCCCAGCTCCCCAGAGAGAACTTAGCCCTAGGGCACCACACACTCAGAATGAAGACAGCCTCTGGTCTCCTAAATGACTTCAGCACATACTGTGGTGGAGTCCTGAACACCAAAGGAGACCCTAACTGGTTAGTGTTCTGAGAACATCCAGTGCTACCACTGGACGTCCACACAGAGCCCGACATGCCCCAGGGACAAGCATGTACTGGCCCTGAGCCTCAGAGGCAGTGCAGACACTTTGGCATCCTGGCCTATGCATGAGCACCACTCACACTGTGGTGGCCACGGGGGAACTGCAGCCCTGTGCACGTGTGCCCTCTTAGGGGAATCATGTGAATTAGCTCTAAAAAGAATTCCTTCCCCGAGACAATTGCTTCAGTCAATAAAATTAACTGTGAATTAAAGTTCTATCAAGTCAACATGGGTGTGCATTTTATTATGGATTTTATAATTAATAAAAATTATTTTATAATTGGATAGTGTCTATAGCTGTATTTACTAGAAAGAATAATCTGATAGCCATTTCTAAAATATTTTTCCAACAATAAACTTTTTTTTTTTAAACAAGAAAGTGTTACCAAAACCACTAAATCATCTTGTGAATCTGGTGCATTTGTGTAGTAATTCCAAATGCATCAAACCAAAAATGAGTATAGCCATTTTTGCTACTTAGATAACACAATAGGCAACAATAGAAGTTCATGGATGTGAATTCATTAGACACTGTCAATACCTCGGTACAGTTTAATTGGAAGCGTAAAATACATAATTGCTGAAGAGAAACCCCAGACAAAAGTTTTCATTTCTAGTAATAAAAACAACAAAATAAACAAAAAACTCTCCAACTAGTCTTAAACTGGCTAGTCTTAAACTGTTGCATTTCAGTCCTGATAACAACATACTAAATAACAGATGGTAAGATAAGAATAATTTAAAATTCTTAATTCAGAAAGCTTTAGCATTCCACTAAGTGCTTATTTTAGTTTCTTCTCTTCATTAAAAGACATAAATAGCATCTTAGTTTAAAAAAAAAATCTACACTAAAAGTCCTATAGAAACCATTTGGGTAAGAATAATATTATGTATACCGCAGATTTTCGGGTAAGGAATATGTATATACATAAACATTTTAATCTCCAAATTTTCCAAATCTGCACTACAGGCCAGAAGGATATCACAACCAATGGGAAATAAATACTACAACATCAGGCCTGTGAAACACTCATAAAAGCCCTCCTGACACTGTTTATCAATACCTGGAGGGGTGTAGGTTTCCACAGATGAATGCACAAGAACAGAACGCCTTTTTGAAGGCATAGGCATCTTCCTCTCTTTGTATTTGGCCAAAGCTGCTTGAACGGCTTCAGTGTGAACATCTACATAGAGACAAGAGCAATAAAAACACTGTTTACAAAACTAATTATGAAGTAACAAATTAAGTTTCATATTTGTATTTGTTTTCAGTGAGTATGAAAGGAACAGAAGCTCTGCTACCTGTCCATCCCCATATGTTGGTCCTAGATTTCTTTAAATATTCTTTTGTTTGTAGATTTGACTTTGAAACCATGCAAATATTTCCATAGTTATGAATCAAACATAAAATAAAAAGAAATTCCTGAAGTTGAAAATAAAGTGAGCCTAAATATGTTGTTGGTTTAAGCTATTCCAGTTGTCTTTAAAACCTTGCAGTCAGACTATTCAACCTGTTCCTCCAGGAAAATCTTCTAAGGATAAAATGAACTGCATAAAAAATTTTAAACTCTCTCATATTGCTGGAGATAGTGAGGACACTGTCATAATGAGATGTTTTGTGATTCAAGTGGGATATGGCAAATAAAAAGCACTTGGATTCTATCATCCCTAGAACCTGGACACTCGTGAGGAAGACAGGAGATGTAAATGCAGATGAAAGACATGCGGTATGAACCCTGCTGTCCTGAGTCTGAACGGATAGTGTCACTACAAATGAAAGGGGTATTATCTTTAGAAAGTATGTCTTACCTCTGTATGCTAAAAATGTCCAGAATGAAAGCAATCAGCATCCCTAGTGCCTAGACTGTGGTCTTAAAATACCATCCTCACTAAAAACAAAAAAAATCCCTGAGAAATGATTCTGAGGTAGGGGAAGAAGTGTCCAGGATGAGTCTAGAGCCTCTTGGATCCAAATGATCCAAATGATCGAACAACATGAGACATTTTGAAGAGGTTCTCATTGGTCAAGGATGGGACAATTTTGAATATCAATAGGGATAAATACTAGAATGGATTGAAGCATCAAATATACTAAAATAGAGATAAAGGAAAGGAAAGGAAAAGAAAAGAAGAAACATAACTGGTTGCCATTGGAAGATGCAATTTTGAAAATTAGTATTTATCTTGACATTCCTGTAGCAGGTAGTATAATGAAGGGAAGTTTCTCTCTTTTTTTTTTTTTTTTTTTTTTGTGAGTTGGAGTCTCACTCTGTTGCCCAAGCTGGAGTATAGTTGCACACATATGGTCACCTCAGCGTCGACCTGCTGGGCTGCGGCAATCCTTCTGCCTCAGCCTTCCAAGTAGCCGGAACTACAGGTGCGTGCTACCATGCCTGGCTAATTTTTTTATTTATTGTAGAGACGAGGTCTCGCCAAGTTGCCAGGGCTGGTCTCAAACCCGCGGGCTCAGGAAATCCACTTGCCTCGGCCTCCCAAAGTGCTGAGATTACAGGCTGAGCCACTAAGCCCAGCTGGGAAGTTTCTCTTTATGGAATTATTCTGACCTTTGAATGAAGAAAGAATAACAGAATCTGAGTTTCACCATTTTGCATCCCTTAAGAACTAATGGGTCTAGGAACTGACAGCATCACTGGCTTCCAGCATCACAATGAAGAGTAAGAGTCAGATACAACAAACCTCTTGGTGGAGGAACACAAAGCCATCTATGATAAAGTCATACAAACAGTTGAAAATCTGAAAATGCCTCTCATCAAGCCTAGTGAGCTAGGAAGCATGTCAGACAACACCAGGGGGGAGCTACCAAACAAGCATGGCCAAGGTTCTCCTACAAACTATAGACTAAGAAAGACAGGAAACATATTATCCAATTGCAATGTGTACATCTTTCTTGGATCTTAAGTCCAAATAAACTTGTTTCTAAAAAGCCATATGGACACTGGACGGATATTTGATATTAAGGAATTACTGTTAATTATTTGTGATAATGGCATTATGTTTTAGAAATACACACATTCTTTTCAGATACAGAGAACAAGAATATTATGACATCTAAATAAAGTAACGTATATGAGATTTGTTTTCAATTCATATGAGAAGGAAGGAAGTAGGTGGGGTATAGATAAATCCAAGACTGAACATGGCTGAGAATTGCTGGAGCTGAACAATGGGCCCAGTGGCTATACTCTAATGGCCATTTTTTGTGTGTTTACATTTTCCCCCAACAAATGTTTTAAACATTTTAAAACCGTACACTTAAATGGCTTGTAGGGTGTTAATCAGGAAAGATAAAATATTTATATCTAGACACACTGAAGTAAAATTTATGAACAGCAAAGAAACAAGACAACTCTAACAGCTTCCATAAAGTAAGAGAAAATCATCTTGAAGGATTAAGAAGCAGACAAACAATACTAAATAGTAATACTGTGGGTGTGAAGGGGGAGGGGTAACACTTTTTGAAGGAAAAAAGTGTTGAACCTAGACTCTTGTATCCATTCAAATTATCATTTAAACATGAAAGTTTAATAAAAACATTCTCAGATATACAAAGTTTCAAAAGCATTTCTACACAAGGACTCAACTGAAAACACTCATGGAAGAAGGTGCTCAAAAAAAAGGAGAATGCAAGAAACAACTCCAGTAGACCTGAGACAGATATAGAAGTAACTATGATTCCCATACTTTAAACTTTATTGCCATCTTAGAAAAATATAAATATAGGTAAAACTCAGAACTAAAAACCTAGACAATATTAACATGATAGGGGTATAAACCAACAGATCCAAGAACCTCAACAAACTTTAAGCCCAAGAAATAAAGATAACTAGCCCAGGCACATCAAATCACTCAATACCAGCATGTCTGCTCAGCTGCCATAACAAAATACCACAAACCAGGTGGCTTAAACAACAGAAATCTATTTTCCTACACTTCTGGAAACTGAATGTCCAAGATCAAGGTGCCATCATGGTTGGTTTCTGAAGGCTCCCTTTCTGCTAGCAGACAGCTGCCTTCTTCCAGTGTCCCCATGGAATGAAAGGGCAAGGGGTAGGGGGAAGGAAGAGCAGGCTCTCTGGAAGCTCTTATAAAGGTACGAATCCCATCATGAGGGCTCTACCCTCAAGACCTCATCTAAACATAATTATTTCCCAAAAAACCCAACACCAAACACCATCCCACTGGGAGTTAGGGTTTCATCATGTGAATTTTGGAGAGGTAATAATTCAGTCCAGAGCACAGTGATAAAGAAAAAAATCTTAAAAGTGTCAGAGAAAAAAAGGCACATTACATACAAAGGACTACAAACAGGAAATAAAGTTGAAAGACTAACACTATTTCAACACTTATTAAGTCACACTCATTAAAAGAACATGTTTTCCCTTGAAGATAGATTAATAGGTCAAAAGAACAGAAGAGAGAGTCTAGTTCAGAAAAAAATGCAGGCATATATGTACAACTGCATTTAGGAAACAGTGAAGGGAATTCACTGGAGAAAACAGTCTTCTTAGCAAATGGCACAGGAACAACTGAATATCTACAAGTAAAAAACTCCCACAAAACTTTGATCCCTGCACTTATACTAAAATTAACTTTAAAATGAGTCATAGACCTAAGGGTAAAACCTAAAACTATAAAATGTTTACAAGTAAACACACGAGAGAATTTTTGTGATTCTAGGTTAGGCAAAGACTCCTTAGACACAAGAACAGTACTATCCACTAAAAAAAATAAAAGGTAACTTAGACTTCATCAAAATTAAAAACTTCTGCTCTTCTAAAGACACATTAAAGAAATGCAAAGAAAAAACACAGGCTGGAAGAAAATATTGGCAAATCACATTCACCATAAAGTTCTTATATTCAGAAGATAAAGAATGTACCTAGTATAAAATACACAAGGGCAGAAACCAGGTTATGAATATCGGCTACATGAGGGTGGATGGGGTAAAGAGAGGAAAATGGGGAAGGTGTAGAAAACAAGGAAGGAAAGAAGGGTAGGCGGAAGGAAAGAGATCTTTTATATAATCCAACTTGTGGAAAGTATGAATACATGTGCATGTAGCTACATCCAGGTATGAAGAGAAAACAGTGCTCAGTGAAATCTGAAAGTGGTCATTTCAGGATTCAGAGATTTCAGGTGATTTTTACTTTTGTTCTTAAATTTGGTAAAATATTTTACATATATTTAACACTAAGCATTATTATTTGTATAATCAGAAAAGAAACTATATTCTGTGTGATAAAGCTTTTATGTCAAATGCAAGTAATTATCTGGTGAAATAGTTCTTGCACCATCTCTTCATACTCCCATATTGAAAAACATTTAAAATCTTAATGTTCTTTTTAGCTACTCTTAAAATGATCATTTAAAAAAATCCCTATTGAAAGTTATTCTGAAAAAAACTTATCAAAAGAGTTTAAACATAAAGGAAACTATATGGTGGTGAGAATGTTAAACAGATAAAGGTGCTTATATAAACGATAATAGAAAACATGAATTTTTTTCAGTGGGTATTCTGATGATTCAAGCAAATACCAGAGACAAATTTAAATATTCATGAAAGCACTGCCAAATTGAGTGGAAGAAATCTAATTACAAGGAAATCTCCAAAATTAAAAAAAAATAGTAATACTTAGACACCCATACCTACGTAGTAAAGCTGCTCCATAATGTGCAATATCAACCCCAAAGCTCTAGATGAAAAAATACATTAAAATGTTTTAAAAAATCATTCTAGTGAGAGTGGGGGAAGATATTTCCAATGATTTTTATAGATATCCCCTAAGAAAACAGCACTTTAGCCATATAATACATGAAAACAGACTGTGGTTATGTGAAAGTTAAATGTTTGTCTTGAAAAATAGGATGTACAGTATTGCTCAAGTGAAAATAACTTTTTTGGCAGACATTTTGGCAAAGAAAGAGTAACCGAAAGCCTTCATGGTCAGAGTCCAGAAGTTCCAGGCCCGCCCACCCTCTCACGACCTAACCTTGTGATCCTACCTGACCGGAAACGCTCGTCCCGCGAGTTGGTGGGCCGAGACTTCTGTTTGGGCACAACGGCAGTGGTTTGTGAGGTCCTGGGGATTCTATTTTCTGCTTGCAGAGACGAGTCTATTCCTGAAACACAATTTTATGGGAATACCTAATATAAACAGTTTGCTTTTCCATTATGAAAAATATGGAACATGCATATTCTCTACCTAAGAGTCTTTCATCTGGAAGTCATTGATGGTTGTGCAAATACTGTGGGTTAAAGGCAATGTCCACTTCCATGCTCTCCTCTCCCCACACCACCCAGCCTAGCCCTGCCTTTTGTTCACCATTCACAAGAGGGGTGATGATCAAACAGCTGTCCTTGTACCCTTGGCAGCACAGCAAATGGTAGCTCGTAGCAGGGGTGCGAGAGCCCTGAGTTTCTCGGGCAGCAGACTTCCCATGAAAAGCCCTTTAAAGATCTACTCCTGCCTTGTGTTTCTTGAATCTGAAATGGCCTGTGTCACTTGTTCTCAGCACTGTGTCAGCAAACTCTGAGTGAGAAACAATCCACCAAACCATCACTGGGGGGGCCACCAGTAGCCCTTTGTTACAAATAGAAAAAAGGCGGAAATGAACAGCAAGAAGAGTATTATAATGACAGTTTTAGGGTACAGTGTGTTCAGAGGCCAGCATCTGCTCAGGTCAGGCCGAATGTCCTTGCTGTATCACCTGCTTGCTCTGCCTCCAAATCCTGGGAAATGACCAGCACATGGGCGACTCTTCTTGCTCCACTGCCAAGGCCCTCAGCTCTAATATGGGGGTAGAGGGTTCTCCTAGCCACAGATGCCCTCGGACACAGTAAAGTGAGTGAAGGAATGGGTACAAGTGTACAGGGTCACTAAACACAGTCCCTGGTTTGTTTGAGTCCTAATTTGCGAACTGCACAAAGCAAAATCTTCAGTTGTGCTTCGACAAAAATAATGTGTGTAACTTGAGCCTTTGCTTCAAAACATCTCATAAAATTGGCCAACAGGGCTTCCAGCCCCACTGGCTCTTCTAGTCCTTATCACTCCCAGAAAAGAGGCAGAGTCCATCTTGCCTCAAGGCTGGGTGGGTCAGTGACTGTCCCTACAGGCACAGGGTGTGAAAGGGGATGCTATGTGACTTCCTAGGCTGGTCATGAAAAGAAACACAGCTGCACCTGGCTCCCTGCAACAACACATGCTAAATCTAGTGCGTGGAGCACCACGGTGGAGGGGCCACATGAGGACAGAGGGAGACTCAGGCATATGTAGGGAGCTGGGTGCTCTGCAACAGAGTCTCCTTACACCATCAGTCACACTGTGATTGAGGAGCACTCGCAAAATGTAGGCCCTGCACTTGAGCACCTGGCTCTGGCTCTGTGGACAGAGATGAGTTAATGTTTGAATTGGGCTTGAACTGCAAACTTGTGAGCAGAACGGATTCTGCTGATGATGTTTACATACTAGATACGTTTCGGGGTGGTTACTTATGCAGCATTAGAGAATGGGAACACCCTCTCCAGAAATCAGTACTTAGCCCTTCAAAATTTGAGCATACATACATACACAAACACACACATACATACATATATATACATACACACATATATGGCAATTTGAGCAGTACCACTAATTGGCTTTTTGCCTTTTGTGACTGAATAAAACTACTCTAAAGTTCATAATGAAAAATTAATAGCCTTACAATTTATGGAGTATAAACAAGTATACTGTAAAGTGATAAAGATGCAAATAGACATCCTTCACCTATATTCCAAAATATAGATACTTTTATTCTTTGAGATAGATTCGTGTATCCCACAAAGATACAAAACCCAACATGAAATTATTGGATGAAAGAGTAGACATATTTTAAATTTTAACAGATATGAAGAGAAAACTTTCTAAAAAGGTTACAGTGATTCACACTCCTACAAGCAATGTATGAAAGTGCCATTTCCCCACATCTTTGTCAGCACTAGATGTTATAAAAAAGTTTTAGAATTTTGACAATCTGATAAGAGAAAAATGGTTCTCTTTCATTTGCATTTTCATATCTACCAGTGAGATGGCACATAATTTAATTCTTATTGCCCATCCACATTTCCTCTTCTTTGAATTTCTATTCACTTTGCCCAGCTAAAAGACCAGGAAGCCTTTATTCCTGGTTTATAGGGACACTACCCTGGACATATGCACATCACAGAGCTGTGGCCCAGATGGTGGCAGCTCAATCATTCTGAAATGTTCTCATTTCTGGGGAGCCAACCATACTTGTCTGTCATTTTTTTCTAGCTTCCAGGTCTCTTATTTTGCCTATGATGACAAACATTAGATATCCTTCTGAATTTTACAATTTTTATAATTAAAATCATATTTAGTTGTTTTTTTTTCTGGGTCCACCAACAAAATATTTATAAAACTCTGACTCATACCAAAGAGCAACAAGAGAACTACATTGTGCTACCCTCACTTGCTTTTTCATATTCAGAGAACTAGCCACAACACTGCAGGGCCCCTCACTATTCCACTTTGTAGAATTTCCAAACATTCACACAGCAATCACCAGAAACTGGTTATCGTCCAAAGCAGGTCTCACAACTTCAATTCGATCATTCTTTAGGAGAAGAGTTGAGTATTTTATGACAAGCCCTCATAATTCTTCAAGGCTTCTTAATTAATATACTTTAACAAACAAATAATGTTATGATCCTATTATTCCTTCTCTAATAACCTTTTTAAAAAATAGGTCCTCTCCGATCTTTTAATTAGAAAAGAAACCTCAAAATGACATTAATAAACAAAAATAAAAGATTCTAATTTGAATACAACACCATTTAGAGTTTTAATCCTTCTATTTCTTTTTTTAGAAAGTAGGATTTATTAAGAAGACAGAAAAGCTCCCACGTGGGAGGGATCTGAAAGAGACTGTCATAGAGTTTTAATCTTTCTTATGTTTATGCTCACTAACGGTGGAAAGGAAGATAATTCTTGCTTCCAGAAGGACAGCACTACCTATTAAATAAACACTTCCTCTTTCATAACCTCTCAAATCATTTCTGGACCTCTTCTCTTCCACTGATTGGGTCGCCTACTCCACACACTGATAATCTTTCCGCTGTCACTATAAAGCATATACAATCACAATCAGGTTTAATATCACAAACACCAGTCCTTTAATGTTTATTACCTCTCTCTTTTTCTCAAGGTACTTTCTTTCTTTCTTTTTTTTTTTTTTTTGGTAGAGTCAGGTTCTCATTATGTTGCCCAGGCTGCTGGTCTCAAGCTCCTGGCCTCAAGCAATCCTCCCACTTGGGCCTCCTAAAGTGCTGGGATTATAGGCCTGAGTTACGGTGGCCAGCCTTATTAAGAGTATTCTTTTCTCAAAAATTTATTGGCTACTCATAGAACTTTTCTCCTTCTAATGAGTCATTATTTCCAATCCCAGGTTTTGGAAAAAATTCAGCCACTAGTATTTAGACTGAACTACATTATGTTCACATATTAACTTGGAATCTGCCAGTTTTATAGTATATATTAAGTTTTCCCATTTGGGAACCTGGTATGTTCCTTTGATACGGAGACTTGCTATTATCTGTCCACATTGCCACAACCCCTAGAGAAGGGCATGGTAAGGGTTCCAGCACTTTTGCACATACCCACATTCCTGAGAGTTAACAAAAGGTGCACTTCCCCTTATCTCCTATGTACTCCCAGTAAGTTCAAAGAATCCTTAACTTCCCAGCAGACTGTGCCCAATTAACTGAGAGATGTAAATCCCCATTTACTCTCTTTTCTTAGTAGTCACATGTTTGAATAATATAATATCAAGGTAATCATAAGTCTTGTGATTTGTATAACTTTTGCATATAATAACATGTAGTAACGTATGATGTCTTAGGCCCTGTTAACTCCCTTTACTCTATAGCAAACTTGATTAACACCTCTGTCTGGTGTTACTGACAAAAAGTTGTGAGATACCTCTGGTAACTGGGGCCAAGAAATGTGGACCATAAATGTCATTATTAACAAAATAGGGGTGAATTAAGTTCTATACAATGTTCTGCTAGTTACATAGTCAACTATGTACTATCTATAGGTATTACCTACCCCAAACTTATAAAAGCTGACTGTAAAACCTGAAGGGTAAGTAGAACCATTTTAGAAAGGCCAGGAGCCTGGCTCTGCTCCCTGGATTCTTTCTACCAGTTTTTCTGCCTCTCAATTTACTGTTGTTAAGGGTTAGCAGCTGAGCGTTACTCGGACCATAACACCTTTATATATTACAGTCTTGGTTATTGCTTTCAAACATATTTTATGATCCTAATATAGGTTCTGTGTCTTTCTCACTATATGTATTAATAAGCATTTGACAATTTATTTTCATTATGAATAGAATTTATTTGTATTTCAACAACAGAAATATTACTAGAGAAAAGCCACTGATTCTCAGATATTTGTTCTATCTTTTTCTCTATCAAACCAAAATCTCTTACTGATTCCCATATTTAAATAAGCAGAGTCACCTGGGTTTTCAAGGTATAAAATAATACCAGTTATATATAAATGATTGCCTTTGTTCTCTAATATCTATTCTTCTTTGTTTTCCTACCTCTATCACCTGTGGCCACCCAAATAATGTGTAATAAAAATGGGCATGGTAAGTATTTCTGCTCAACCTCGTAAAGAATGGAAATTGCTATAATATATGATTGCTAGTTTGAGGGATGCTGGTGATTTTTGGCAAATGGGTTTTAAGCCATTTTACTAGTTTCTTACAATTCCAATTTTACTAAGAGTTTATGTTTTATTTTGGATGAGTAAATATCCATATATAAAGAGTCTCCTCAATCTTCTTTTTGGTGTTGTTATAAAATATCTCATACGAGTATAGACAGTATACAGCATGAATAAGTTTAAGTTTAAGAATATTATTAGCATACAATCAATGTAACTACTGCACAAGGCCAGGCTCGGTGGCTCAGTCTGTAATCTCAGCACTTTGGGAGGCCGAGGCGAGTGGATTGCCTGAGCCCGTGGGTTCAAGACCAGCCCGGGCAACTTGGCGCTACAAAAGACAAATAATTAGCTGGGTGTGGTAGCACATGCCTGTAGTTCTGGCTACTTGGAAAGCTGAGCCAGAAGGATCCCCAGAGCCCAGGTCAACGCTGGAGTGGCTGTGAGTGTGCCACTGCACTCCAGCCTGGGTGACAGAGAGAGTAAGACTTCAACTAAAAAAAAAAGAAATAAAACATTAGCCAGGCACAGTGGCACATGCCTGTAATTCCAGCTACTTGGAAGGCTGAGGCAGAAAGATCAAGTGAGCACAGCAGGTGGAGTCTGCTGTGGCTGAGTGTGCCACTGCACTCCAGCCTGGGTGATAGAGAGAGACTCCAACTCAAAAAAAAAAAAAGAAAAAGAAAAAGAAAGAAAGAAAGAAAGAAAACATTCAGATGCTTTAGGAGCCTCTGCAGCCCTCTCCCATCTCACTTCCATGAGGAAATGGCACGCTGACTTCTGTGAAAACCATTTCCTTTTCTTTCTTTACGAACTATGTAACGGTCTCTAAATAGCTCAGTTTGGTATGCTTTTTTAAACATATATTGATTATATTCCTTTGTAATTGCTTCTTTCATTCCCCATCATATTTATGAGATTCACCCTTGCTGAATACATTTGTATAAACTTTGTTAATGAATGTTTGAGTTATTGACAGTTTAGGGATATAATGAATACTCTTTTGCATAGAATAAGGTGTGAACAAACAGGAATATCTCTAGGGTACACATTCTCTACAACTTCAGCTTTCCTACATAATATTAGCTGCCTGTACCCCACTGTTTGAATCCTCTCCAACGACAGGATGGCAGGTTGTGGTTTTAATTTGCATTTCTCTGATAAATAATGAGGTTAAGCATCTTTTCATTTGCTTGTTGGCTTATTAGGATTTCCTCTTGTGAAATACCTGTTTGAGTCTTTGCCCACTTTTATTTTGGGCTATTTCTTATCATGTTTTGGGGGCTTTTGGCTATTTAAGTTTAAATTGATTAAAATTAAATTAAAAATTCAGACTTTTAGTCACACTAGCCAGATTTCAAGTGCCCAATCACCATACATGGCTAGTGGATTGTATACTGGATGCTACAACTAGAAAACATGTCCATTATTGCAAAAAGTTCTATTGGACAGTGCCACTCTGTACATTCAAGATACTAGTTTTGAAACTATGCCTCCAAAGAGTTAAAGAAATCATCAGTGACTAACAGAAATACTTGAATTTACAGGATGGCAGATAAAAAAGAGAAACAACTTGCTGAAACTCCCTTTGCTTGTAAGATAACAAAACTGGCTGAAATCAGTTGGAAGCAATATGGCCAACTGGTGTCTATGCACACGAGATTGCTAATGTCACAGCCCAAATTTCCACCACACGTTTCATACTAACTCACTCTCCCTGAATTTGCACACATGACCTGAGGAAATATGAAGAGATAAATGTGCATGTCTGTGGACATTCCAGATTCCCCTTTTCCTTCTAACAATCACCTTCTAATTTGAGGACACACCCCCTAAGCCTGTTCTAATAAAATTACTGAAGACAGCACAGGGAGACAGATTTGAGCTAGACTCTTATCTCCTTGTGAGTCAACTTGTAATAAAAAGTTTTACTTTTCTCAAAAATCCAGCGTCATGGGACTGGCTTCTAGTGTACTAGACAGCAAGCCCCTTTTGTTCAGCAACAGTTCTTCATTTATTTGTGTTACAACTATCTTCTCACACACTGTAGCTTGTATTTTCTATCTCTTTATGGTGACTTTTGATAAAAAGAAATTCTTAATTTAAATTTAGTTCAATTTATCAATCTTTTCCTTTATAGTGGCTGCTTTTCAGTACCTTTTGTGACTTAAATCCTTCCTATCTTGAGATGGTGACAATCTTCCTAGAAGATCTTCTAAAGTTTCTATAGTTTTTGCCTTTCACATTTAGGTCTAATATATCTGGAACTGATTTTTTTGTACAGTGTCATGTATGGACAAGGAACTGTGCCAGCACTATAGCTGCCATGCCACTGTTGCCATGTACCAAGTACACATATGTGTGTTATGTGGGTCTGAGCTGTCGGCCCTGCCCCAGACCACCCTGTCTCAGTGATGATGACTTTTTAACTCTTCATATCCTGGCTAGATCAATCTTCCCACCTCTGTCTTCTTTTCTGAACATATTTTGAATCTCCTAATCTTTTACACTGAATATAAGTGTTAGAACTAGCTTGTTAAGTTTCATACATACAAAAAAAAATCTGTTTAAATGAAGAATGCGCTGAATCTACAAATCAACCTAATGTGGGAAGAACTGACATCTTTACAATATTTGTTCTAGCTATAGTGAGGAAATGTGCCAGGCTGTTCTATAATCATAAAAAATAAAATAAAAAATCTGGCCTGGTATCGTGGCTCACACCTGTAATCCCAGCAGTGTGGGAGGCAGAGGCAGGAGGATTACTTAAACCCAAGAGTTTGAGACCAGCCTAGGTAACATAACAATACCTCATCTCTACAAAAAAAATTTTTTTTTTAATTAGGCTCAATTTTTTAAAAAATGTATGTGTGGTGACACACGCCTGTAATCCCAGCAACCTGGGAGACTGACACAGGAGGATCACTTGAGACCAGGAGTTGGAGGCTGCAGTGAGCTGTGATTGTGCCACTGTACTCTAGCCTGGGCAACAAAGTTAGACCCTGACTCAAAATAATAAAAACTAAAATATATCCTATTTGGAAATGAGATCTGCACCAAGCCAGAGCTGTATATTATAATCTGTCTTTGGATTTTATTAAATATAAGATAAATTTTTCCAGTTCATAATAAAATATGAAACAGAAACCAATGTTTAAACCTGATTTAACACTGCCAACCAATGTTAACTCTAAAATCAGTTTTGTTTTGTTTTTTTTGAGTTGGAGTCTCTCACTCTGTCGCCCAGGTTAGAATGCAGTGCCACGCTCACGGCCACCATAGCCTCAACCTGCTGGGCTCAGGTGATCCTTTAGCCTCAGCCTTGCTAGTAGCTGGAACTACAGGCACGCGGTACCATGCCCGGCTAATTTTTTGATCTATTGTAGAGATGAGGTCTCGCCAAGTTGCCCAGGCTGGTATTGAACCCGTTGGGCTCAGGCAATCCTCTCACCTTTGCCTCCCAAAGTGCTGGGATTATAGGTGTGAGCCACTGTGTCCAGCCTAAAATCAAATTTCAAATCAATTTTTTTTTTTGAGTTGGAGTCTCACTCTGTCACCCAGGCTGGAGTGCAAGGGCACGCTCACAGCCACCACAGCAACGGCCTGCTAGACTCAGGTGATCTTTCCACCTCAGTCTTCCAAGTAGCTAGAACTATAGGCATGCACCACCACGTCCAGCTAATTTTTTTATTTATTATAGAGATTAACCAGGCTGGTCTTGAACCCACAAGCTCAGGCAATCCTCGCACCTTAGCCTCCCAAAGTGCTGGGATTATAAGCGTGAGCCACTGCGTCAGCCTTAAATCAAGTTTTATGAGACAATATAATTGTTGCAAGATTCCTGAGTGTATTGACCTTACCTTGAATAAGTGGTATATAACGTGCAAGCAGCTTTGCCCTTTTCTTTTCATATCCTTTTTGAGTGATGTCACCTAAAATAACAATGGAAAAGAGAATTACATTTCTTCTAAAGTTCCAAAATGTTTAAATTAAGTTAACTCAAGATTAAAAAATTGGAAACAACATTAATGTCCTTCAACAAGGTGACTGGATAAACAAACTATGACAGATCCATAACATGGAATGCCACTCAGCAGTAAAAAGGAACAAATTATGGATACACATAGCTATTTGGATAGATCACATAACATGTTACAGAGTGAAAGAAGTCAGACTCAAAAGGTATATATATTGAATATTCCACTTATATGACATTCTAAGAAAGACAAAACTATAGGGTCAGAAAGCATGGTTGCTGGGGTTAGGATAAGGGAAGGACAAGGGAATTTTGAGGGCGGTAACTGTTCTGTCTTGAGTATAGTGGTGGTTAGAGGACTATATCTGTTTGTCAAAAATCCATACAATTGTGCAAGATAAAGGGTGAATTTTTCTGTATGTAATCAGTACTTCAATTTTTTTAAATTGTCACTGGCATCCCTTGGGAGCTTGTCAAAAAGGAAGACTGAGGCCACACCCTAAACAGACAGAATCCACATCCGTACTTGGTCAAGATCTTCAAGTGACTCTAGTGGAGGTTCAAGTTTCAGAAGTACTGGAGTAAGAGACCCTTGGGGCACAAGCCCTCCCAGGCTATGTGGTGTCCCTGGGACAGAAGGAAAAAGGACTAATGTTCCAATAAATTATCATAAGGAAAAAGAGTCTTGAAAACAAATTAAACCACCTAGGAAAGAGGTAGGAAATGTATTGTCATGGAAACACTTCTTAGTCTAAGCACTACTTGGTTTCCTAGAAAGACCTAGAAATGCTAATAGTGAATCTATGATGTTTTGAAGACTATATAGACCAGAAATGTATATTATAGTTCTCACTACTAGCTTGTTCTTTGGGTGAACACTCAATAGAGACTTTGTAGTGCTTTGTAAGCTCTCCTACCCCTGCAAAACAAGCAAAGCAATAAAGCTGCTATAAATCAGAAGACATAGGCTGACCTTATTTATTGAGTCCTTAACTGAGTATTTCCTAGTTGAATTTTTGATTGCAGAATTTGTTGTGTGAAAAGTCTGAATGCCGACATCTAAATTAAGCCTCACTGAAAGCCTCTGGGCGGGACTTAACATTCCACCCTATAGAAGAACAGCCTAAGGCCAGGAAGGCCAGGGTCTGCATACAGTTGTTTTGAATCCAGGCTCCAGGCAAGGCTACTACCAGTCTCATACTGCCCAAGCCCTGCCCTCTGTGAAGAGTTACTGTTCTGACAGCAGTTTGCTCAGGCCCCTTCTCAAGTCTCTCATGTTTATCTGTCCATCCTTCCATGTTCTCCACAGTGTTCCAATTCCATCACCACAGGCAACTTTTTTTTTTTCATTGTGTCTTTTAATATGAGTGTCTTCTACAGAATGTATACTGCTTTGTGTCCAGGTATTTTAAATTGATCTGAATGGCATTATAAATCTCACTGTTTCCTATTTTCCTCACTAAGCCTTCCATTTTTCAAACCAACTCACCCTCAATGCAATGAGCACACCCTACCCACTGCTCTAATCCTAGCACCCCTTGGAAGTACATCATCCTTGTCTTATCCCCTCACCACCAGTGATGATCCCTCATCAGGTCCAAGACATTACTGGACGATTTTACGTATTAAATTGTACACAATTTTTAAAGCACACATTTTTCAAAGCATCATCTACTAAGAAAAATTATTTCCTCTAGAATATGTGAAAAGCTATGACAAATTTAAATGGAAACTGAAAGGGTAAAATGCCAATATGAAAAATGTAATGAAATAATCTTTGCCAAAGAGCAGCCATTTTAACATTGCTTAGCTTTGTCATGTTTTTTTAGCAGTTCACTTTAATTTACCCTCTAGCCATTAGTCAAGGATAGAACCATTTTCCCAGAGATAGCTATTGATAATTTACAACTCTCTTCCCAGAGCCTGCTTTATACTGTTTATTTTTCTACTGAAAGTTTCTCTTTTAGCCATAAAGAACCAGGAAGACCTATATGACACAGACAGACCCCATCACCATGACAACAGTTATATGACGAACCCACCAATCTTTCTGACCCTTAGTGATGACCTAAAACACCTTAAATCACCTGAACAACCTGTCCCCACACCAAAGGAAAGGTTTAAAAAACATTCAACCTCAAGCAGCAGCAGCCATGCTTTGCTGTAAGCTCTGGCCCCCTCCCCAATCTGGGGAAGGTGGATCCCCTCCTGTTTTTTCTCCCTCTAGTCTATTTTCTAAATAAGTCATATTTTCCAATCTAATTTCTGTATAATTCTTTGCATCTTATCTGCGCCACTGGTTCAGTACATTGGCCCACTGACCTAACAATCCTCCCAGACCTAACAGAAACTAAATATTCCTACACTAAATTAAAACTGATAGACCCCTACTTAAAAGCAGAGCAGATTTTCCAGAATATTTAAAAATTAAGAATTCATTTCCTAGAAACAGTCCTCCATATGTCCCCATTTCAGATGAATGCTAAGATGTGGAAGGTACACAAAGAGTATTGAGAAATGAAATATCTTAACTCCCTGTTTGATGCTCATGACATACCAAAGGATGTCTGTCTTTTTTTTTTTACTGAATATAACTAGCTATTCCATTTCTCTCTCTCTCTCTTTTTTTTTTTTTAACAGAATAATAAACTGCTTTATTACATGAGCTAGGGAAGAGGATTTATTTGTCTTTCTGGGCCTTGATTTTCCTCAGACAGAACTGCAACTCCTTGCCTTCTAGCACATAGCCATCTGCTCGACCACACTGGCCCAGTCTTGATGCCATGCAAGCAAGAAGTTTGCCCTGCTGGAACTGCTCCTCCAGAAGACTGCTGATTTTGGCATTCTTTTTCCTTTCATCATATTTCTTCTGAATTTTTTTGGATCGTATTTTGTTTAAAATCTCTTCCTCCTCAGGAGTCAGCTTTGCCCCCTTCTTGTGACCCAGGGGCAGTACACGGTGGGACTCATACCACTGTCGGTATGGCGTGCTATCAATGAGCACAGTGCAATTCTTCACTAGGGTCTCTATATGGACCAACTCATTATCGAATGAGTTGTAGACAACATTGATGACCCTTGTTTTGCAAGTACAACACTCAGAGCCTCAGGAAAGTTGCCCACGTCCAGCCTCAGGGCATCGTATTTCTTGTTACCTCTGCACTTCGACTGTGTGGATGCAGCAGGGGCCAATCTTGGTGTTGGCAGTGGGATGTCCAAGCTCATCCTTCTGCTACTTGTGATAGGGCTTTCTCTTGCCCCTAGTTTTGTGCCAGTTGTCCTGAGAGATGCCCATCGCTCAGCGCTGGCTGGAAAGAGACACTATTCCATTTCTATGTATAACCAGTTACAGTACTTTTGTGGATCCAACTTAACAGACACTAATACTCCACATGCCATCAAATGCAAACCTTCTAACCACACAGAGATTAACGTAGAATTCCAAAATGGAATCCAGACACAAAACTAGTAAATAGACAAAAGACTCAAATCCAAGTTTTCTGACTCCAAGTTCAGTACTTTCTCTCACAGAACAATAAAACATAAATGCTAAAGAGACAAACAGCAGTGCTAAATGCTCCAATCTACTATACAGAATTGGTGTGACCGTGACTTGCACCTCACAGGTGCAGCTCTTCTCAGGCTGAGCATGCAGGCAGCTGCAGAACTTTGGGAAAACAACTGGGCCCATCTTCAGGAGACACTGCTCTGATGTTCTGTGTTCTTCCTAGTTCTCCAGGTAGAGGTACAATGTGTGGCTCTGGCTGAACTCCACTGCCGTAGAACAATCTCACTCAGGATTACTGATGCCAAATCACAAGTAATATCACCAAGTCCTTGACTCAGCAACATAATTTCTAAAAATCCATTATCAAAAGCATTCAACTATCCCTTAAGATCACAGGAAAGAGGATGAGTAAGCACACTACATGTAAGAGTAAATAAGGGGAGACGACATAACTGTCTATAAAAAAAAAAGAAGTAAATATGCTGCCATATATCTTTACTACAGAACACTATCAGTCATAAAAAACAAAAAAATGCCCTGACATTTGGGGATCTGGGAGTGGGTAACACTTACTTATACTCCTGGTATCCTACTGAGTAAAAATAGGAAGTTGAAAAACAATATACATACAGAATGATCCTGTTCTGAAAAGGCACATAAAATTACATATACATACTAATAAATGTGTAAATATATACATGTAGATATGTATATTTGCAGAAAATGTCTGGGAGGGATGCACAACAAATGATTAATAGTGATTTCCCTAGGGAAGTGATCTGTTTATTTGGCTTTGGGTAGGGTGTGAAACATTTCATTTTTTACTTCATACACTTCTAAACTCTAAATTTTTTAGCACACATAATCTTTTGTAATTAAAAATGTACAAGGCTGGGTGCGGTGGCTCACACCTGTAATTCCAGCACTTTGGGAGGCCAAGGTGAGAGGACTACCAGAGCCCAGGGGTTTGAGACCAGCCTGGGCAAGGTGGTGAGACCTCGTCTCTACAATAAATCAAAAAATTAACCGGGTGTGGTGGCACGTGCCTATAGTTCCAACTACTTGGAAGGCTGGGGTAGAAGGATTGCCTGAGCCCAGCAGGTCGAGGCTGTGGTGGCTGTAAGCATGCCACTGCACTCCAGCCTGGGTGACAGAGTAAGACTCCAACTCAATAAATAAATAAATAAATAAAAGAATGTATGAAAGATGATTTTTGACAGTGTGTAATGATTATATAAGATGTTGTTGAAAGACACAATAAATTATCTGTACTCTTTTTGCAACTTCTTATTAAATTATTTCAAAGTAAAAAGTTTAAAAATATATCGGAGAGGTATAGAATTAATGTTATTTTTTTTTTATTTTAAAGATGTGGGGTACAATTCAGGACTTAGGTATACAAGTGGTCATTGTACAGGTAACATTTGGGCTTCCCTTTGGTCCCCACTTTGCCTGGTTTGAGATCAGGTACCCTTATTGATGTTGTGTACCTCTTTACCCTGTAGTATTTCTTTTTTAGATGTTTGATAAAATCTGCCAGTGAAACAATATAGGCTTACAGATTTATTTTTCAAAGGGCTTTTACACTATGAATTTAGCTTCTTTAATAGTTACAGGACTATTAGGTTATTTGCTTAATTATGGATAAGTTTTGGTAGTTTGTGGTTTTCAAGGAATTGGCCCATTTCATGTAAGATGTTGAAAGTAGAGTCATGTGTTGCTTAATGGTGGGGATACATTCTGAGAAATATCTCATTAAGTGATTTTATCGTATGAACATCCTAGAGTGTATTTACACAAACCTAGATGGAACAGCCTACTATACATTTAGGTTATATGATATAGCTTATTGCTCCTAGGCTACAAATCTGTACAGCTTGTTACTGTACTAAATACTATAGGCAACTGTAACACAATAGTATTTGTGTATCTAACCATTTCTAAACATAGAAAAGATATAGTAAAAATATGATATGAAGGATAAAATGGTATATCTGTATAGGGCATTTACCATAAATGGAGCTTATAGGAATGGAAGTTGCTCTGGGTGAGTCAGTGAGTGAGTGTTGAGTGAATGTGAAGGCCTAGAACGTTACTGTACACTATTGTAGACTTCATAAGCTCTATACACTTAAGCTGCACTAAACTCACTTTTATGATATTTTGGTAGTTTGTATTTTTTGTCACTCTTGTTAGAGGTTTAGCAATTTCATTACCTTTTCCAAGAACCACATTTTGGTTCCACTAATCTTTTTTCTATTTTTAGCCACATTAATTTCCGCTCTTACCATTTTCCTTCTATTACAAAAACACAAATTAAAACCATGATGACATACCCTACACACCTTAAGATGGATGAAATTTTAAAATATTTACAATATCAAGTGCTAACAGTAGAAACTCTTATACACTTCTGGTGGGTACACAAAATGGAGCAGCTACTCTAGAAAACAGTTTGGAAGATTTTTATGCAATTAGACATACACACACCAGATGACTGACCCAACAATTCCACTCTTGATTATCTACCATAGAGAAGTAAAAATTTATGTTCACATAAAACTTGTACACAAATGTCTATAGCAGCTTTATTCAGAATCACCAAAAGCTAGAAACAGCCCAGATGTTAAGTGAATGGATAAAAACTGTAGTATAACAATACCATGGAAAACTACTCAGTGATAAAAAGGAACAGACTATTGATACATGCAAAAATGTGAATGAATCTTAAAGACAACACACAGAATAAAAGAAGCCATTTTCAAAAGGTTATATACTGTATGATTTCATTTATATGACATTCCTGAAAAGACAAAACCATAAGGAAAGAGAACAAAAGATCAGTGGTTGCCAGGATAAGGGATTGGGGGAAGGGATAACTACAAAGGGATAGCATGAGGAGTGTCTTGAGGGTGATGATGCTGTACTAAATCCTGATTAGGATAGTAGTAGCACGAATCTATACCTGTATTAAAATTCACAGAACTATATACCAAAAGAAAAAATTATGTTTGACGGTATGATAACTTTTAAAATAAAATAAAATAATACATATGTAGAATAGGAGGGGCTGTGAAGGTAAAGGGGAAGGACAATGGAGGCAGAAATGGCAAAGCGGACAGGTGAGCACTCCCACCAGAACCCTCCTCAAGTTCCCGCATATAGGATAGGAAATAAAGCAGTCACTTGCAAATAAGCCCCCCAGAGTCTGAAAGGAATGTCTGACAAAGAAGTGCTACAGGCTTTCAGCAGTTGGGTGACTCTACCATGGACTACACATGGCTAAGGAAGGAGCAACTCCACAGGGCACAATACAGTGAGTGCGAGCCCTATGGGCCCAACAGGTTCTAACCCTATGCAGTCTGCCCTTGAGCAGGTCACCTTGACCACTGTAAGGTTGGCACCAGCCAGATATTAGATGCTCACCCTGAGCCCAAATGAGCTGGACACAGCTGCCAGTGTTTAGTCGTTTAGAAAGGGTGTTGGCCCTTGCTCTGTTCTCAAGGAAGAGTTCAAAGAGTCCACTGGGTCCTAATCTGGGCCACACAAGTCTACCCAGGTTCCAAAGGCAGGATCTCTGTGCCATAGCATCTGTGCATGACCACAACTGCTACTGGACTAAACAAGTCCTACTGGAGGTGCTCACACAGAGGAGGAGGAAGCAATAAAATGAGGGGTGATCCTCACCTTACCACTGTAAAATTTCAAGACAGATGCCACAAAGAAATGCAAGCAGGCTCCTGTGACACAGAACAAAAGTTGAAGAAAATCTGTGAAGATTAATAATTTGCATGGCAGCACCACTTGCTGATAACAGTGATTTTTGTACTCAATATAAGCAAGTGAAAATTTCACTTTCAAATCTTAAAGCTTCCAAACACAGGGGGTCTTAATATACAGATTTAATACACAAAAGTAGAAGGTATCTGACTGTAGTTTATTTATGCTTAACGCTGAAGTGTGTACAGCAGATATGCTTCCATGGTAGGATTTGAATGTCTCTCATTCTTTTGCATTTAAGCCAGACTTTCTAAATGCTACATTTAATAAATATTTTCTTTTTATCTCAAAGTTTTTTTCTTTTTGAGTCAGGGTTTCACCCTGTTGCCTAGACTGGAGTGCAGTGGCATGATGATGGCTCACCACAGCCTAGGCTCAAGCAATCCTCTCTCCTCAGTCTCCCAAGTAGATGGGACTACAGGCGTATACCACCAAGCACAGCTAATTATTATTATTTTTTTTTGTACAAATGAGATCTTGCTATGTTGCCTAGACTGGTCTTAAACTCTTGGCCTCAAGCAATCCTCCCTCCTTGGTCTCCAAAAGTGCTGTGATTATGATGTGAACTACCACGCCAAGACTCAAAGTTCTTAATAAAATATGCTCATTCAACTGAATATTCATACACACACACAAACAGGAATAACATGGCAACAATAAAATTAGGGGGCGCAGACCAGCTCTCCCAATGGAAACAACAAAAAAGAATGCATTAAAAATTTTCCTTAAATCTGCAGATATTTCATAACTAACAAAGAAGTGAAGAACTTGGGGTCAGTATTCCTCTAGAGAAGTCTGCCAAGTCAGAAAGTAACAACCAAGTAGTTGATTTGAGCAGAACTTTGACAGACTCATGAAGCTAGGAGCTTACTGAGGAGTAGGGGCCTAGAAAGCAACCCAGGTCCTTAGAAGGACCACACCTTGGGTATGAACTGAAAATAAAGCCACCCTCACAGGGACTGGAGTCAGTTTCAAATCACTTTCTCCATATGTAGATTGAGGTGATA